AATAAGAGACAAAGTGTCTCAATTCATTCTGAAATCACTTCGGACCCGAACCGACCAACCCGATAAGTCATAATACAACTGTAGAATACAGAAGAAGCATAAAATAGGGAAACGGGGCTACAACTCTCAAAACGACCGGCCGGGTCATTACATGATGATTGGAAGGAAATATTTGAAACATATAGAGCAACTTGAGAGTTTGCAGAAGAGCCGATATTTCTCACCATACATGAAGACACAGAAGGCAGAAGCTTAGAGTCATTCCAACATAGGCAACTAGTACGAGGAATAAGTAAAAAACTTCTGAATCAACTTGAAGATCACAGCAGCCTTACACCTATCACTCTCCTAGTTACTTAGAAATGTTACTACTGACATCCATAACCAACAGTTTGCATCTGTCTCCAAAGAAGCACTACTAGAAGTTGCGATTATGTTAGTTCAATCTAATGAAAATTTGGAAAAACAAAACCATTTGTTCAAGGTCAAAGAACCCATAGGAATATACCATGGTACAGTCCATTCTCAAAAGCTTTATAGTATGAACAAACTGACAGAGACATATCAGAAGGATTAAGCAGCTACCAGGCACTAAGATGAAGCAAAGCACAAGGATATATAAATACTCTGCATAACAGCACATGTAGCAAGGATGAAGATTTAATGCATGCTTTTTCTTTTCTTTATTAGAGGAAAGATTCCTTGTCTGAGAGAAGCCCCATTTCACATACTGTTCCTCCTCACACGAAAGAGCAACAGTAATCTCTGGAACCCAAACAAAAAGACATTTATGATCTCATCTTTTACGGAATCAATTTTTTTTTACTAGCAGAAGAATATGTAGAGCTCACGAAACATAGGAGATTACTAAACATGGCTATAGTGCACTTAAATAGTTAAAGTAATATGTTCTTGGCGAACCACTCAAGGGGATTAGGAAAGGAATTTTGACAAAAGTTTAGAAGATTTACCAATAGCATAACCAAAAAGATTAATCAATGTCAATTTTGTATCCGCAAAAAGTAGGGCAGATAGCAGCACAACGACCCAATCTTTGACAACTCCAGCAACACGAATGGTCAGGGCACTTGTATGTTGAATCACCAGAAAAACAGACAGATTCAGGGCAAAGGTACATAGAGAATTTAGGGTTAGAATAAGAGGATGGAAGCTCCATGTCCTCTGTTCGTCCATCTTTGGTTTCTCCAAAAAGATCCATGGAATTAACAAACAAAGAGCGCTGCATTTTTGTCAAGAAGGTTCAATCAAAATGAGTATTAATCGCGCCGAAACAGAAAAAGATAATGTCGATACATCAAGCTTTTACACATAAAACTGCATGCCTGCATGGGCTGACATAGTACATCACAGATATGGGGTTGAGCTTCAGGCCCTTCCGTTTCACCAGAATCTCCATAAATATAAGCCTCAAAGCTTCTCCAACGACACCTCCCATTTGATAGACAACACCTACCCAGTTAATATTTATTTCCCCATAAGAAGCTACAAGTACACCAAAACTGATTACTGACATTATGAGAAGCATTCTGCAGCTCATCACTTCGAGTCCAGCTGCAACCCCCAGAATGAAAACTGCTACAGGCACTGCAAAACAAACCAAAAGAGAGGATGATGCCCTTGGCACAAATGAACAAAGGAAAACAGAGTACGGGAACAGGTGGTCAACTAGCCCAGCCTCTAAAGCTATCCACCAAGCATGAAGAATCCCATGAGAGCTATTCCTATGAGCTTATTTCTATTGTAAAGCTGTATTTTGCCTATAACATCTATGGTGGACGGCACATAAAACACCTGGAAAGCAGTATACTTACTGATTGCTTTCAGCATCTGAGCAAATGAAACTGAAATATAGAGATAAGCAGTGTTCCCAAGCCAAAGTGTCATAGCGAACATTGCACCAATTGGTATGACTGAACTCATGTATCTGCAAATTAAAACCACAACAGCGTTATTGAATGATTTATAGTATAATTGAAAAACAAATCTGACAAAAGAGGACCACAGAAAAAGAATAAGAAAACAATATGATTGTTTAATATGGATGAATTAGAATGCCGGGTAAAAAGCTAAGCCCAGAACAAGAGATTCTTCAATTTTTAGGTTAATTTCACACAAATAGCAAGTAAGAAAGTTCAATGTTAAACTTTAGTTTCTCTTGTTAATTGGTAAAAACCATTGGTAACTACATCAGCATAACTCTGTTTGCTACTAATTTGGTTTAATTCATTTTTGTCACATTTATAATATCAGAATTTAGATACGCATCAACTATGTAATACGTAATCATCTAATGGAAAACATGTGGAGGCTACAAACTGCTTTTCATTTTTCTAAAGAATTGATGAAAAAGAATAGTTTCTTTTTGAGAAGAAAACAAGGTGGTTTATTGTGTGATTTTCTTATGTTATAAGTACATGGTCTAATCTTTCAAACAAAGTGAAAATCGGTGTCACATCCAAAAAGCATAGCTGGACCTGTAATATGGGAACAAAGGACTAAATGAGCTAAACTAGAAAAGTCGGCAAAAGAAAGAAAGGCCTTGGATAGAAGCCAACCATCCGTAAGACAAATATTTGACATGAAATTCTTTCACTGAATACTCACATATCTAGAGTCATCCCTTCCTCAACTTTCATTATCTGCATGAAATTATCTAAATTAGCACTATAGGTTGGCATACAAGAAATCATTACAACACTAAAGGTGAATACTCCGTACCTTCAGAACCTTGGTAAGCACAAAACACAAAATTGAGGAGAAGACCATGTGAAGTAGAGTCAATCCAAGAGGATAAGGAAAGTTTATATCTTTTGAAGACAAAACCCACTGCAACACACATCATTATATTGCAGGTCAGATAAAGGAGCTACAACAAGTCATACATGCGAACTAGTCTTCAATGCAGCAATTTAATTGACTTATAAGGGAGCTCGATAAGATGCATCTTTTATCTAGTGAAGACATAGCAATGAACAGAACCGCATAAAAATTATCCTAGAAGATGAGAATCTTTTCACTTCAGTAACTTCTTCAAACTGGTAAAAAGGACTTTTGACTGATTGAAACTAGTTCTCCTACTACTTGTTGTTCTTTTCACTTTGTTTTCCTACTATCTTGTTGTTGTTAATGTTTGGTGCTACTGCTTTTCTTTTCGTCTCTCTTGAGCCGAGGGTCCGATCAACAACCTCTCTACTTTCAAGGTAGGGTAAGGTTTGCGTACACATTACCTTCCCAGACACCACTTGTGGGATTACACTGGGTTTGTTGTTGTTGTTATTGTTGTTACTGATTGAAACTAGAATGCTGCCTTAAGTTGAGGGTTAAAGGAGAAAAATGTTTTAATACCATTGAACCAAATAAATCAATGAATTTTAAGATACTGGTATACTACTACTTCCGTCCAAGGAAAGGAAATAGAAGTTCAATATCATTGAACTCCAAATTTATTGTTATCAAATGTCTATAAATGACTTTATTCCCTTAATTATTTGATCTTTTAGCTTATCCTCTGTATCAACTCATGAACACAGAAATAAAGATAGAGTTAAGGATAGGCCTAAGCGTATTTGGATTTTGACGCTATGAACATTCACACTTCACTACCCTTAGGGCGTAATTTCACACCCTGCAGCAACGTCAAACTTCTATACATGTAATATCACTCATAGTGAGAACCATGTTTCTCTCACCATTAAAGGCGGATCCAAAATTTTAAGTCATGAAGTACCACTACACCAATACTCTCTTGGAACTATGGGTGCGAAATTAGTATAAATACATGTTTTTTTTTTTGAATATTTTGAACTATATATAGAGAGGTCCGAATTGAAGGCAGTGGTTAAAGTCGCCCGTAGATCCAAGGCACAAAGCATTACCCCAGTATCAAATAATAGCCACAAGACAAATGCAATACAAATAAGCACAAATTTATTTACGTGCTTAATTAACAACGTAGAGAGAAAGGGAAAAGAAGGAACCTTGTTGAAGAAGATCTGGCCACTAGAGAGTGCAATATAGAGGAGAAGATATGAATATGTTACCATATCTTCGCTCACCCGTTTTCTCTGCGGATCCGCCATTCCTGCACCCCTCACACTCGGCTTGAATTCACAGTGGGACTTTGATATTTGAAAAGAAGTTAAGTGTGAAATGGTGGAGTGGAATGGTTAAAAAGTGTGACGAGAATGAAAATACGGAAAGAGTGCTCAGTGTTCCGACTTTTAGCGCGCCTGACTTGGTGGATTGGTTGCTTCTTTTCCCAGTACTTGTGTGCCGACTGCCCCATTCTCGTTTACTTTCCTTCGATTGCATTTTTCCATTTCCCGATGGATTAAAAACATAATACTATAAGGATTCCCTTTCTTCTTTTTTTACTTTTTAAGGAGTCCTTTTGTTTGACGGAAAATGATTGGCGAAATACATAGTTACCCATCCAACTTACACTCAAATCCGTGTTACACACCTATTGACCACGGGTATAATTTTACACACCAAACCTTTCAAATGTGTGTCAATTACACACTACTTTTGACCTGGGACATGTGAAACACGACCAATGCGGTGCGTGAAAAGTTATTTTCTGCCTCACCTGACAAATTACAACGGCTAATTACTGGAATTGGGCCCATTTTCTTAACCCTAACGCCTAATTCTTTATCTCCTTCTTATTAAAAGCAACCATTTTCATCTTCTTCATATTAAAAGGAACCAATTTCAGAAAAATCCAACCCCCATCTTCACCTTCCACATCTAATATTTTGAAGCTGGTTATATTTGTTCAATTAAAGTGCAATACATTGTTATTCTTCTGTCAATTCTCGTATTAGGGTTCATGTTGATGTCTTAAACCCTAAAAATACTCCTGACGAAATACCCAAATAAACCCTAACTATTTCGACCCACCCATCTAAATCAAAACGATTGAACAACCTAAAATGAGAATACTAACCTGAAAATGACGAAAGTAACAGCAATAAAGAGCAAATGTGTTCTCGTCGGATTCGCTTCAAAGGTTACGGCTGAAGAACAGGGATTTGAAAATGGAATTATGTTTGTTAATTTGGTCGCGGAGTTGTTTTTAATTAACAGGGTCGGATCTTTTTTGGGTCGGAATTAAGAAAAGGGTTGGGCTGTCCATTTTAATTAAAGAATCGTTTGTTTTTTAATTTAAATAAGCGTGTGTATACACAACATTGAATATTAACGGGGCTGGTCAAAAGTAGTGTGTAATTGACACGCATTTGAAAAGTTTGGTGTGTAAAGTTATACCCGTGGTCAACAGGTGTGTAACAGGGATTTGAGCGTAAGTTGGATGGGTAAACTATGTATTTCGCCAAAATGATTTAGTTTAAAATTTATGCACTAAACAGTGTAAAAAGAGATTATACAGTAAAATCACTTATTAGGTGGTTACCTGTAAAAAATTACAAATATTAATTGACGGAAAATAATTTAGTTTAAAAGTTATGCACTAAACAGTGTAAAAAGAGATTATACAGTAAAATCACTTATTAGGTGGTTACCTGTAAAACAAATTACAAATATTAATTGATAATCCGATGAAAATAGTAACTAACCTGCTATCATAAGTTAAAATTCGAGTATAAAAAATTCTTTAGCCTATTAAGTGGTCATTTCTCGTTTGTCTATGAGACAAGCAATGCAGGAATTAAATCCTCATTTGGTTTAGAGAAAAGCTATGCAGGAATTACTAATGCAGAGATTAATAATATAAAATTATATAATAAATGAATTAATATGTTTTGATTAACAATGTAAGGATTATAGTTATATAAGAACTACTTACTTTAATGGGAGCTTTGTCTTTAAATAGTTTAATCTCTATATTGCTAATATACGTATTCTTATTTCACATTCTATCTCGCATAAAATAACATCAATTCTCGTATAGCTTACGGTATTATGATTTTATAAAAGGATGCAAAATTGCAACCAGATGAACTGGAAATCATGCTAAATTTAAGGCCAAATACATAAGTGGCCCCTTAAACTTGGCCTTTTTTTTTAATTTAGACACCTGAACTAAACCTTGTTCCTATTAAACACCCGAACTTAAATTTAAGTGTGCCAATTGAACACACGCTACTGACATGGCAGCATGCGTGCACTTCACTTCAATAGAGAGCGTGAAGGACCGAAGTTTTTATTTTTTTATTTTCCTTCATCCCCTCCTTTCCTTGACAGTCATTTTCACGGCCAGAACCACCACATCTCTGCCGCTCTTCCGCCACATCCATCACCATATTCCATAAGAGAACCACAGCATAAAGCAAATCTTCTGATTCAGTAGTTGCACAATCAAATTAAATTCAACAACTTTCTCTATCTCTCTGTCTCAAATCTTGTTCTATTTGTCTATGGTCGGATTCACACATAAACAACAAGTACAATATCTAAATATTTTGACGGAAAAAGTAGGGTTCTTCGAAGTGATTGTGCTGATCTATGGTTTGAATTGATTCTTAATCGTTAAACTTTGAGGAATTGGAATTAGCTGGGTTTCAATTTTGTGTTTCCATATTCCCCTTAGCATAATTTTGTGTTTCTTTTACCAAATACATCTACTTACTCGTAGTAATAAACTTGCATACATGATGGCAAAGTAGAAATTATAAAAACCTTTGATGACTTAGTTTAATTGTCTTTTAGTGATGAGGGCGGCGACAAGGAGAAAACGAAAGGGAGGGAGGACGAGAGATTCCAGGAAAATATTACTCCAATAAAGAAGTTTATAAAAAAAAAGGTTTCATGGGTTTTTTGCCTTGTCAGGCGTTTGAGACTCACTCACTTTATTGTTGGGAGAGGTTGTCAATTATGTGCTCAATAGACACATTTTCAGCATAGAATAAGTGTTCAATAGGAACAAGATTTAGTTCAGGTGTCGAAATAAAAAAAATGGCCAAGTTTAAGGGGTTGCTTATGTATTTGACCTAAATTTAACGAGGAGACTAATTCTCCTTATGTCAACCATCCAAATAAGGTATTGGTTATGGTGAATTTAGTAAGGGCCTACGAGGATTAATCCCCGTTTCAAGCGATCAAATGAGCTCTTAGTGGATATAACTTAAATCCTTATTATTGTTACACCCCCATATTTTTGTACACAAAAGTACGTCATAAGTGAATTGATGTAAGCTCCGAGATGAGATCATCTTTCAAAGTACATAAAGTAAGTTAATCATGTTACCTTGGAGGTTACAAATATTTAAGATCTTGAACAACAAGTACCAAGAGGGTTGGAAGGCTTAGAAGCTAAACGAATCGAAGAAAATAAGTTTCGTCGAAAGTCGACAAGTTGGGAATATTATAATATGTACTTTTGGGGCGAGACTAGGGTGCTTAACATGATAAGGAGGTTATGCTATGATTAATTTTAGTCATATAATAGTTGTGTATTACGTTTTGAAGTCAAGCGAGTTGTGGAACAAAAGTTGGCGAAAGTCATCACAAGTTACATTCATAAATGTGCTGAAAATTAGGTCAAATGTAGTTGAGCTTTTCTCCCAATTTTCTTGGAATTACGGGATAATATACCTACCTAATTGAATATCTACGAGTCTAGTTTCTAACAAATTAAAATATTTGTCTATCCGATATCGGAGTAGAGAGATATTCGCATTTTTGCGAGACTGCGCAAGCAACTCCCTGTGGGAACCACTTAGGCGGTTGAGATATCTTGATATATATGTGACGCCTAAAGCCCGCTTTTACTAATTCTTTTTCACTCTCTTCATAGCCTAAACACCTAAAAATGTTCTCTCAAAGTTCTCTCATGATCCAAAATCCAAACCAAGGGCAAACAACACAATCAATTGTCGGGAATCTCGTGGCGCTAGTGAGTTTCTTGTTCTTCTTGTGGTTGCTGATGTTGGTGTGGTTCCAGCTCGTGTGGGAGTTGTTTAGAGTGGTATAAGTTCTTTAAAATACCCTCTCAAGGTTTCATATCAACCCTAGGCGATTTCAAGTCTTCCAAAGTGATTCTAGTGCCGAGAAATCCGAATTGATTGCTAGTTTTGCTTCCTTGTTCTTGTGGTTGTTTTGGAGGATTCTTCAAGTGAAGTAACCTCAGATTTCATGTTGTTCTTGTTTATTAAGGTAATAATCAGTCTCTCCTTCATATATATTATAGTTTCAAGGCGAAATACAAGTGTTGACAGACCAACTTGAACACAAAAGTGGATTCAAGAAGAGAATACAACTCCTATAGTGTTGTGGTGTGATTGAGGGTTGTTGTGAGCTACTCCAGTTGGGGATTTCAAGTTGTATCTATTGCCTAAGTTAATTAAATCATTTTATTGGTTGTGCTTAAGGTTAATCATGTGCAACCACTAATCAGTTGGGTTTTACCAAGATCCACGTGGTCGGGTACGATTCTACCGAGCCTTATGATGGCCGGGTACAATTTTACCGAGTCCTCTTCGGGTACAATATGATGATGATGATGCTCACAAAGGCGTATGTTTTTAAGAGTATATGTATATATATATGTATCATGCATTTCATGCCAGTCGCCCTCAGAGGCACTCAAATGTTACAAGTTGTATCTTCTCTATCTCTCTTTGCATTACTGATCTTGTTTATGCTTTCCTGACTTACATACTCGGTACTTTATTCGTACTGACGTCCCGTTTGCATGGGGACGCTATGTTTAATGCCTCCAGGTCATGATGGACGGGTTGACAGTCCTCCTAGTAGGCTATCAGCTAAGCGGAAGGTGTTGGTGTACTTCAGTTGCTCCGGAGTTGCCTATTTGGTTGGTATGATTTGAACATGTATTTATTGGTATGGCGGGGCCCTGTCCCGACTTTTATAACGTTTATGCACTCTTAGAGGCTTGTAGACATATGTCATATATATGTATACTTGTATGGCCTTGTTGGTCTATATTTTGAGTGTACAAATGATCATGTCGGCTTTATAGGCCTGTATGTCATATGTATAAGAAAGATACGTTACGTTGGTACTCGGTTGAGTTCGCGACCCTTCGGTTTGGGTCGTGACAAACTTGGTATCAGAGCAGTTCTGTCCTAGAGAGTCTACAAGCCGTCTCTAGTAGAGTCTGTTGATACCCAATTTTTTCCTATATATTTTTAATATGCATAAATACTTTCAAAATAGCATATATATGCATATATAAGCATGCACAAGGTTTTTGTAATTTTTTTATAATTTTAAAGATTTTAAATTGATTTATTTCCTCCCTTTTTACTCATAAAATCCCCAATAATTATCCCTCAAATTATTGAGGTGGTAATTTAGTCATCTAAATTCTATATTTATGCCAAAATATTGTTAAGATATTTTTAGTGCAT